TTATATTGTACCATGCTCAGAGAATTTTAACATTATATAGTTTTTTCCTTTCTGTTTTTGAAGCTTTGGAATATTTTTATTTCTTCCAGTAGGATCACATTCACACGTAAACTATGAGAAGACTGTCAGGTACGATATTTGCATTCTACAGTTTTGTTCCATCAGGAAACTTTTTAAATCAAAGGATCTTTAATAATCAACTGAGCCTTGGTTTTCAGCTCTGTTTCACAGAGTTCCCTAAGGCATTCTGTGCACTTTTAAGATTTTTTCATGTATTTTTTCCCAAATTTTAATATACCAAACACCATGGTCAAAATTAACTTATGTCCCAGTGATTTTTTTTTTAACTGAAGTATAGTCGATACACAATGTTACATTAGTTTCAGGTATACAACTTAGTGATTTGACAACTATGCATTTTGCTATGCTCACCACAAGTGTAATACCATCTGTCACCATACTACACTATTACAGCACTATTGACTATATTCCCTGTGCTTTACCTTTTATCCTCATGACTTACTCATTCCATAACTGAAAGCCTATATCTCCCACTCCCCTTCACCCATTTTGCTCCCCACCACAACCATCAGTTTTTCTCTGTATTTATGGATTTATTTCCTGTTTATAAAATTTGTTTTTGATTCCACATATAAGTGAAATCATATGATATTTGTCTCTCTCTGTCTTATTTCATTTAGCATAATACCCTGTAGGTCCATCCATGTTATCACAAATGGCAAGATCTCTTTTTTTTATGGCTAAGTATCTATTGATGGACACTTAGGTTATTTTTGTTATCTTAGCCATTGTAAATAATGATGCAATGAACATGGGGTGCACATATATTTTTGAATTAGTATTCCACTTTAGGGAGGAGGTAAATACCCACTAATTATCTTTATAAATTTATAAAGTAAATAAATACAATATTGAATATTGTATTCAATAATGAGTACATTATTGAAATGTATTCAAATACATTTAAATAAAATACTAAAAGTAAGTGTTTTATTCCTTGGGTTTCTGTGGAAGATTCATTTGCAATAAATCCGTGTCCACCATTGGATGAAGAAACCAAAATGCTAGGTCACTTGCCCAAATTGGAGGCTGAGCTAAGAAGAGAATCCAATCTTCCTTTCCCTCAGTACAGTGTCCTTGGCCACCTATATGTCTTTCCAATGCCATTTGTCTCAAACAAAAGATATTTTACTAGTGTCTTCCCTCTATATAAGCCTAGAGCTGCTTGAAAACACAGAGCCTTCAGCATTGCCTATAATAATGTCTGTTCTATTCCTTGTGTTTGTTCTGTGTGCTGGTTCACAGCTCTCAGAGTGATTAAGTGGCTTAACATTGGATAGTTTCCTTTCATCCTGCCATTTCCAGATGGGATAGGGGAAGAAGGGAAAGGCAATTTGAAGCGTGCTTTAGAAAAAGTTCCAAGGCATGTACACCATGTGGGAGTTGTTGACTTATCTTTGGAGTTTAGTTTGACAAAGCAAGGCTGTCCAACCTCACATTTACTGAGAGTTTGCTGAGTGCTTTTGCCCAAAGTGATGCTGAGAAAGTTGAGCTGTAGAGAACAGAAATGGATGAAACTCATCTCGGAAATCATTCTGAGAAGATTGTAGACCCCAAGTGGTAAAAGTGATCTGTCTCAGCTGGAGAAAATAAAGACCTGCACCCAGGGTGCCTCTCTTTCAGACTGTAGGGATCTCCTCTGACTGGGGTTTCAGTTTTTTTGGCATAACTTTGTGTCTAAACTTGGTGCCTCACTAATGGGACCTGCCAGCCTCTGGCTGCTTAGGAGTCATAACCAAAGACAACGATAATTCAGAATGTCCTCCAGTGGGTCAGAAGAGTATGCATCTAGGACTCTTGGCACATCTTTATTGTCTCAGCTACATTTAGGGATTGGAAAATGATAATGTTTCAAATGACACAAATTGAACCAGGACTCGTTTTCACACTTAAGCCATAATAAAAAAGGACAAATCACGAACAATTTTTTTTTAGTATAAAGAGCTAGTCATCATAAGTAGGGACCAATATTTTTTTTTATCAGAAGCACATTTTAGTTTAGAAGAAAGAGCTTTACATGTTTTGACCTCCTTTGTTGCTTACTTGCTCTCTCCCTTATAAAGTTCTGACGTTTTTAAGTAAGATAAGAACCTTCAGTGTGACTCATTCATGGAGCATTGTGAGAATCAAATGAGTTAATACACATTTGAAGTTATTAGAACAGTACCAGGCAGAGAGTAAATGTTCAGTAAATACACTGTTATTATTAATGTCATCATTGCAATTACTCACCTGTTCCTCCTCCATTTATGCCACCATGCATAGAATAAATTCTATTACACACCATGTGTATATATGCTTGTGTTTAGGAGGATATTTTTTAAATAAGAAGAAACAGTTCTTGCCTTTTTTGGAGTTAATAAAGGAATGAGAAAAGGATGAGAAAAACTGGAGTGCAAGTAAGCTGTGTTAGATTCCTGGCCTTCTTAGGTGTCCAAGCCAAGAATGGTAGAGAAAGTTAAAGATATGCAGCAGAGTACAGAAGCCACAATCATAAACAATGAATCTTGGAACACTGAAAAAATAAAGCTTAAAAAAAGGAAGCCACAATCAAATCCTTAAAGGTGCACAGCACAGTGGTTAACACATGGTAAATATTGAATAATGTCAAATAAATTGTGTGATCGCCACTCACCCAAGAAGCCTCCTCTGACTTCTGTGGTCTTCAAGGTAAAATTAGTGCCTCCCCCCTTATTGCTCCCTACCATGCCTCTACCTCTATTTCAGCACCTTTTTATGCTACCCAGTCCCCATTTCCATTCCTGTTTCCCTCCACAGTTTTGTGCTTTCAAAGACTGAGACTTACCTTCTTCATCTTCATAATCTTCGGGGCCAGGCATGATGCCTGGGGCATGGAAGGAGTTGATAAGTGTGTTTGGGGTGAGGGACGGAGGAAGAAAACATTTCTTCTTGATCAAGATGGCATTGAAAGTATCAAAACCACATTGAAATACCACCTTACGTCCGTTAGAATAGAAAAAATTAACAAAACAGGAAACAACAAATGTTGGAGAGCATGTGGAGAAAGGGGAACCCTCTTACACTGTTGGTGGGAATGCAAGCTGATACAGCCACTTTGGAAAACAGTGTGGAGATTCCTCAAAAAGTTAAAAATAGAGCTACCCTATGACCCAGTGATTGCACTATTGGGTATTTACTCCAAAGATATAGAAAGAAGGGGCACATGCACCCCAAGGTTCATAACAGCAATGTCCACAATAGCCAAACTGTGGAAGGAGCCAAGATGCCTTCAACAGACAAATGGATAAAGAAGATGTGGCCCATATACACAATGGGATATGACTCAGCCATCAGAAACAATGAATACCCACCATTTACTGACATAGATGGAACTGGAAGAGATTATGCTGAGTGAAATAAGCCAAGCAGAGAAAGACAATTATCAAATGGTTTCACTTACATGTGGAACATAAGGAATAACATGGAGGACATTAGGAGAAAGAAGGGAAAAATGGAAGGTGGGGTGGTAATCAGAGAGGGAGACGAACCATGAAAGACTATATACTCTGGGAAACAAACTAAGGGTTTTAGGGGGGAGAGCCTGGTTATGGATATTAAGGAGGGCATGTATTGCATGGAGCACTAGGTGTTACATGCAAATAATGAATCATGGAACTCTACATCAAAAACTAATGAAATACTGTATGGTGACTAATATAATAAAAACATAAAAATAAATGAGTAGAGTTGTTAAAATCAAAACAATTTTTGATCTATTGGGAAAAGTATAAAATTTAAGCCATAGACTTAAATTATCAAACATCAGAGATGAACCAAGACTGATGAGCAAACAACTTCCCTTGAGTAAACTCATGCTGTGTTGACCATGGTGATCAGGAACTACATCTATGCTTTGGTGCAGTATTCTGGGCTCCTTGCACTCTCCTTCCTTTGGATATGGAACTAATTTAGTCTTGGAGTGAGTCACTGGACTATATCTAGAAATCACCATCTTTCTCTAGAGTGGTCTTTACTCACATTTGACATACTTAAGCCATGTGACTGCTCCAGAGAGCCTGTGTTTGTCTGTTCAAGAGAAACTGTCCTCAGGGATTCATCTTCTGCCTGGAAGGTTTTGATCAAGGATAAGGGAACTGGTCAATCTTTGTGTTCCTCACACCAGTGCTATGTTTAAATCAGCTTTCTTTTCTCATCAGTCATAGGGGCGCTTTCCAATGTTTGCTGAAGGGAGAGTACTCACGGTCTGATTTCTAGCACTAGGATCATGCCATCAACTGGTTTTACCTATTTCTTTGCTTGAACAAGGTACTTAACATCTCTAAATCTCAATTTAGTCATCTGTAAGTGGGGATAAAAATTGTAAATACCCGATGAGGTTATTATGAGGATTAAATGAGATGAAGTGTGTTTTGAGTATAACATCACATTGTAAAGGTTTTATGAATGTCAAGTATTGTTTGTTTTTATGCTTTGTTTTTGAAATGAGATTTGGGGGAGCTACCAAAACATGTGCAAAATTATGAAATAAAAATAAGCCAGTGAGAAAACCAGAGTCAAGGGGAACATCACATCATTCCATAGAATCATGAGGATTTTAATTTTCTTATATCAGATACCAACTTGGCCAATCATTCATTCATTGGCTGGATCAGCATTTAACTTTGACCAGATCTTTGGCATGGCAGCATACAAAAAGGAGTGAAAGACCTTGCTTTTGCTTCAGGCTGTGAAGAAGAGCCCAAAGATACCCAATTAAAACACAGTGTAGCTAGAACTATGGGAGAAATGGAAGAGGATATGTGTGCCAGGGCTTGTCCTGGGAAACAGCCCTTACCTACAACGAGCTGGGTTTGCAGCTCATTCCCTGCCCTGATGTGATGTGCTTTGTATTCATGTTTCAGTAACCACCTTGGGGCTGAACGTGACTAAGCAAGAAGATGGCCAAGATTAACACCCAATTCTCCCACCCCGCGGTAAGGACCACGGACAGAGATCTCGACAATGTTGAAAATGGCCTCAGCAGGTAAGATGGGCTTTCCACTGCATGCCCACAAAATGAGTTGTTCCCATAGCTGATCTAGACTGTGGGGTAAAGAATGCCTTAGCCTGTAGCAAACAGCAGGTTGAAGGGTGCGGGCTATTCACAGTGCTCCTTCTGACTTCACTTACTCCATCTCACCTAAGCCTCACAACCCATGGAAGTAGTTTTTATTCTCGTTTTAGAGAGGTAGAAAATGAGGCTCAAAAGATTATGTAACTTCTAAAAGGTAACAAACTGAAGATTCAAATGGAGCAAATTAACTTTTATTGTAAAAACTTCTCCAAACTGGCATGCTTTCCCATATATACTTCAGACATTTATTGGACTCTGTGCACCAGTCATTGTCCTGGATGCTAGGGATGAGTACGAATCAGATGCCCTGTCCCTCACATTCAGTGGAAGGGCAGTATTCATGTTGTGCCCATGGTCTGCAGGGAGTGGGCTGTGCCTTACCAGTAAAGCCATTAGCCACATCAATGACATCCCCACACAGGCAGCCATAAGGAAATCTGGGCCTTAAGTTCTACTTCTAGACCTGTTCATGGCTTACTAGTAGACTGGGGAAAACCCACTTAATTTCTCTATGCCTCAGTTTCTTCAACTGCAAATGGAGCAGCATCTTTTCCAAGCTCCTGGCACAAGGATGAGGAAGTGGGAGTGTACCTATTTGGTGCATATGGACTTATATTTTTATGTTTCTTAAATTCTCAATGAGTTGATTGAGTTGAACCATGAGAAACTTTATTTCCAAAATTTGTGTTATTGTTGTCCCATATATATAACACTGAAAACTTCTTCCTCCCATGAAAACTTCTCCCTCCCATGAGAACTGCATATTATCCAATGACCATAAACTGCAAAGACAGTCCATCAGTGTTCACATCCCTGGTGCTGGGCCTTCATCCACCATTTCTCCTCTGTTACTAATGTATATCACTTCTTTCAGATGCACATTTGGTTTTTTCTGTGTAGATTCTTGTTCCTACTCCTTAGTAACTCTGCTCATGAGTTATGGACAATAATTTCCAAAGAGATTGATTCCCTGTCACTGTGAATTCATGTAGTCCTAGAACCCCACCTTTGGGGATTCCGGCAAAGGGAGGAATGTCTCAGAGCATCCCAACAGCTATTAATTGCCTCCAACCATTTTAACATACTGTTGGAGCCCCAGGAATTTTTGATATGACTCAGGGCCATCAGAAGTTCTCATTCTGGATAAGGAAGATGTGGTCCATATACACTATGGAGTATTATGCCTCCATCAGAAAGGATGAATACCCAACTTTTGTAGCAACATGCATGGGACTGGAAGAGATTATGCTGAGTGAAATAAGTCAAGCAGAGTCAATTATCATATGGTTTTACTTATTTGTAGAGCATAACAAATAACATGGAGGACATGGGGAGATGGAGAGGAGAAAGGAGTTGAGGGAAACTGGAAGGGGAGGTAAACCATGAGAGACTATGGACTCTGAAAAACAACCTGAGGGTTTTGAAGGGGCAGGGGGTGGGAGATTGGGGGAGCCAGGTGATGGGTATTAAGGAGGGCATGCATTGCATGGAGCACTGGGTGTGGTGCAAAAACAATGAATACTGTTACACTGTAAAGAAATTTAAAAATAAATTTAATTTAATTTAATTTAAAAAGTTCTCATTCTACTCAAATTTCTCCTTCCTAACTGGCCTACTGTCAATACCAGTGTCTCACCACTGGAGACTTACTCCTTTAGGTTAAGTCATTGCCCCTAATTTAAAAGGAAAAAAAAAGAACACTCTTAGGACAGATATCTGCTATTAAAACTTTGGTATGCATGAATAGCTTCTTTTTCACATCTGTGCTAATTAACCTCTTGGGGCTGGGTGTTCAAAGATGACTGGGGTGGAGGGGAGAACAGGTCCAAGCATGGGGCACAGCAGTAAAGTGAAGCTCCTTGGGCAGCACTGGGTTCCTGGGACCTTGGGCCCAATGGGAGAAGGACAGAAGCTGTTAGGGTCAAGAAGAATTTGAAGCAGAATGGACCTCTCCCCCATTGCTCCCTTTTGTCTTGTGGGGGGACATCATCAGATCATCTCATGGACCTTCTAGGCTCCCTGGGGCTGAGAACAATAGGGTCTTCATCTGGCTTTTTATGATTAGATACTCAAGAATAAGCATTCCCAGTTAACGGGCTGGGGCTCCTGCCCAGAATACCTGCTTGACCAGACACTGCCATGGTCCACCTCTGCCTGATTTGTCCTGGCTCTGCCTCAGCCAGTGGCCTACAAGCCCAGCTGGAGGCATGGGCTGTTCAGGAGAGCTCACTAGGACTCCTGGAAGATGACCCTTCACAAAATAAATTGCTAGCTCAATTTAAGCCACATGGACCCCAGTGATGGGCCTCTGGGGGCTCATGCTGGGTTTGTGCACACTCAGAGGCTGGGTCAGCCACACAGTCAGGGGCTCTGAATTGATGTCCTTCAAAAATGCTGTTTGCCCTCTTCATGGGTGGGGGAAAAGTCCTTCATTCTCCCTCCTATCCCCCATTCTGTGACCAGTGTGATGACTTAACAGGCTCAGGGTCAGGCTGGCTGAGTTTGAATATTGGCTCTGCAACTGACCAGCTCTGAAAAGGGGTGCAGCTTCTCCGGACTGCACTTTCCTCACCTGCATAGTGGACTAGTACTGACCTCACAGGGCTGTAGTGAGGTTAGAACAGGTCAGTGCTCTCAGCACAGTTCCTCCTGTATAGAAAGTGTTCAGTCAGTGCTGTCAGTCTTGAAAATGAGTCCTCCTCCTGTGGGCCTTCCCTGGTATTCCAAGCTGGAAGCCTTCTTCTCCTCTGATCTCAGACAGTTCCAGCTGTCCTGACATCTGGATCTGGCCATTTCCTGCCTGTGACCAAGTCATGCTTCCTCAGGCTGACCACTAGTCTGGTCTCACTGAGCCTCACTTGGGGCCTTGCCCAACCACTCCTGTGGTAAAAGCTTGTTGACAGATTAATACAGAATCACATGGAGACAGTATGGAGATTTTAAAAGGAGAGAGAAAAATAATGCTTCTTTCATGAGGCAGATGTTTGCTTTATCTCATGGAGGCAGGACTGAGTTAACAGATGGAAGTTTCTAGAATGGGTTCCTTGGCGTTACCAAGGATTGAACATGTGTGCTCAGGCTGGAGGGTGAAACAGCCTTGGGCCAGAGGCTGGGTCCAGGCCCCTCCTCTGCTTCCCAGCACAGCCTAGCATTTGTCTAAATACAGACTAGTTTTCCCTGTAAGAGTCATTTGAACAGGGACTCTGGCATGTACGTGTAAAAATTTTAAAGTTTCAAATCACTATTTTAGGGGAGGAAATGGTGTTTGAACAAACCATAGATCCTTGCTTTAAAATTCAAACTGTTTTAGGAGCACCTGCCTGGCTCAGTTGGTAGAATGCGTGATTCTTGACCTCATGGTCATGACTTTGAGCCCCATGTTGGGTGTAGAGATTACTTAAATAAATAAACTTTTTTAAAAATAATAAAAAAATTTCAAATCCTTTTAGAAAGCTTTTGGGAGATGTAATTGTGTTTTTCCTTAAATACTAATCATTCTTTGTCCTCAATGATATCAAGAAACTGTGCTGGGAACCTGTGTGTCACTGTGACCCTTTGCCCAATGCCCCCCGGAGAGAGGAGCTATTATGTCCCCATTCCCTGAAACATCCTTGTCCCCAAATCTTTCACCAAACTGGAGAGCCAGGTTTCTGTTTCTCCTTTTTTAAATTATTGGGATCATTTTCCTAGTGACAAACCATACGGAAGGATGAAAACATTTCATTTGAACAACAAAGTCAAAACACTGAAAATACCAGAAATAAAAATGTCTTGAATTTTCCTTTTCTATTTAGATCTGTTTAGTTGACTTGATTATTTAAGAGAAGTCTGGCATATTGGAAAAGATAATGCAGTAGGGAAAGACTTCAGAATCTGCAACAGAGAATTATCGTGAGGACCAAGGGTACCTCAAATCTCAGATCAATCTCCTGGTGTAGCTATTTTAGGCGAGCTTTGGGGCATAGCGGTTTGTGTCCTACCGAAGAGAAGCCTTTTTTGTGCTGCTCTCTGAGCAGAGCCCAAAGCAATTATCACCAAAGAACACCATTTTCAGGCTGCTTCCCCAGGACCGAAGACAAAAATACACTCACTTCAGTTCCCTGGTCACAAGTGGCCAATGGCAGTGCATGTGGGTCATTCCAGTTCCTCAGGGCTGGAGAGGAGGAAAAGAAAAACAAGGTATCATCTTCACCAGGTGCTCCGCCAAGTACAAAAGCTGATAACATGTTGCAGCTCTGATGAGCATCCCCATCTTCTCCCAGTGACAAGGGAAACATTTACCTCACAGACAGGAAGTTCCTCTTTGTAAGAAAACTTAGAAGATGAACATCACAAGTTGAAAATTACCTTCTCTTTCAAAACAGTCCCATCATTGTGTTTTGCTGGCTGCTCTTGTTCTCGCTAATCGCCAACTTCCCAGAGATCCTTCCTGGCATCATCATCATCATCATCATTGCTGCCTACAGTCGGCATCGGCAAATGAGAGGGTAGCTTCTGGATTGTCCTGGGACAAGGCCCCATCAAGTCCCTTGCCCCAGACTCTTCCGCCAGCTCTGGCAGGATGGGGCCTGGCCCCCAGTTTCTCCTGCTTCTGTATATCTCTGGGAGGTTCTGGATCCCCATTCAGCCATTGGTTGCCTTTTTCTCAGTACCTGTGTGTCCTCAGGGACTCAAAGTGTCACCTCAGACACCTGGCTCTTCTCTCTTCCCATCTCCTCTTCCATCTGCTTGGTAAAATCAGTTTCTCTGAGGAATAACTAAGTGGGTTGACTATTTAAATACCCCCATGCATTGAACGAGGGTGGAGACTCGGGAGCTAGAAGACATCAGAGAATTTCAAGCATCAAAAAACAAGTGGGGAGACATGTCAAGAAGAAAAGACCCCTTTGGGTCCCTTGAACTTACTTCCTAGAAGGCTTTCCCTACTCTTCATGGTGAAATGTGCCTTTTCTGGACTTGGCTGTTTGAACAATACTTAAGTCGATACAAAATCATCAATTTTTCATTTAGTTCCTTTTTGAAGACTACAAAACACCAAGGAGGGTAAGTGAGCTGCCCACAGAACACCTAGCTAATAGGCCTCCCAGCTCCCCACTCTGCCACCACCCTTCAAGCAAGTGTCCTAGATCCAGCCCCCACATGGGAGCCCTCACTGCTGCGAAGAACAGGCCTGGTTTGGAATCTGGGGTGGGTTTTGCCCTCCTCACATTCTCATCAGCTCTGATGTCATTGATTCCTTTGCTACTAATGCAAATAAATCTGTTTTCAGGATGTCCCCTCACATAATTAACAGAAAGCAGGCTGGGCAGAAAGGCTGGGCCGACTCCTTGGTGCCCAGAGCTCTCTGAGGAGCTGCTGGTGGGGACAGAACACCTTCACCCTTGGGATTGCCTCCGGATCTTCTGGGCACACATACAGGGATGGAGCTGCAGCCCAAGCTGTTGGTTGCTGCACACCTAACCCCACCATGTGGCAGCTGCTAGGGAGGGACTAGAGATATGGACTCACTCACTCGTCCCACTCTCCCTCCTCCAGGGACTGCCCCGAGTGCCTTGGAATGTGCATTTCACCTTTGTAGTATGCAGATTATTAGAAGGGCAAGGGTATCAGAGCTTCCTAACTATAGCAAGACCTCTGGCAGGGTTTCCCATGTGTCTAAGGACAAAAAAATATGAATGGTTTTTTAGGTATAGAGAGAGAGAATTCAATTAGATGGTTTTCAAAATAAAGAGCCATGCCCACATTGTATAACCTGGTTGACCAGAGCCGTGTCTCTAGTGGTATGCCACAGGGCTCAGTCCTGCTTTAATCGGTGTCATATGTGAAAATACAGAGAGTAGCTTCATAAGAGTGGATGAAAGCAGGGTTTGACGTAGGATGGAATGACATTCAAACCTTGGCTTTGCTACTTGACCATATGATCTTGGGGAAGTTATTTAACCTAACCTCTCAGAACCTCAGTTTTCTCTCTTATTGGGTGGCTATGTGGATTAAATGATAAGATCTATGTGTCTGGCATACAGTAAACAGTCAATAAGTGGCCTATGGTTTGTGTATTGCATGTGAACAAGATGAGTTGGGAGGAAAGGCTACATGGAGCCCAAGGGTCCCAAAACATTGAGTGGCTCAGATCAACGGAACTGTCCAGAACTTACTTCCAACAAATCAATTGTACATGCACAAGATAGGACCTTCTGGCTTAGCAGCAGCCCATATTATGGGACTTTGGGTTTTGGCTGATGGTAGTTGCCCGTGGGGACACCAAAAGCACACAAACTCACAAACCTGCAACGACCTCTGGCTTGGGGTCCAGTAATAGCAGAATGGGCTCTGTCTCCATGCCCAGCCAGGCAGGAATGCAGGAACCTGCTCACAGGAGCATGACCATGACTGGGAAGAGCCTTGAACCTGATGAGGCATGGCTGGGTGAGCTGGGGGGTTCCAGCCTGCAAAAACAGATGTGGCACTGGTGTAAGAGCTGTCCCTTCATGTCCAATGTCCATGAAGGTAGCCATGGAGAAGATGAAGTAGCCTGCCTCTGTGTGGTTCCAGCACACACATACACACACACAAAAAAGTAGCCTTGGTCTGAGGAAGCTGAGGGAAGGAAGAACCTGCTACCAAGATGGCCAGGCTGGGCTATGGGACAGAAGGGAGAGCCCTGCAGCTGGAGATGGCAGGGGTATTGTAGAAAGAGGAGTCAGCAGATTGGAGGCTGGGATTCAGGACTCTGCCTTCTACTTCCTTACTGAGGAGACATAGAGAGATTTTTCCTGACATTAATTATTGCTTACTTCATCAACTGTGTTGCCACCTTGTTAAGAAGGCTGATTAGGTTGGAATAGGTCACGTGATGGAATTAATTTGTTCTGCTTGGGCTCTTCAAGACTCATAGAATGAAGTGTAAATCCCTAGGGGCCAATGCCTGGATGGCTTTTAATCAAGCTGATCAAATTTTCAGCCCTAGGAGATTTTAAAAGACAGGGAAAGAAAGGAAAATATGCCCAAACACATTGGTCTTATTCTGGGCAGAAACAAACACCCGGGCTCTGCTATGGGCACGTGTCTTATTTGTGCTCACACTTTTCGCTCCAAATTGGGCAGGTGAGGTCACTTGCCCAGTCCCCCATTGCAGGGGACAGAGGTTAGGGTTTGACAAAAGGGCACAGTGGAAATGTATTTTCATGCAAAAGCACTGTACAAATGCGCATGGAGGCCCATGCCATTTCCATTCAATATTCCAGGACACCCCTCTTAACCGAATACCGAAAGCACTCCTGGGAAGGCTGCCAGCTGAGCACTAAGTACGTGCATGCCCAGGGAGTATTGTGACATACACACAGTCTGGCCTTAGCAGATAGGATTTCAGTATACAGAGTTGTGTTTGAACCAGAATTCTTGCTCTGGAATCACTGTGTAGAGACAGCTGCTGTGGCTTCCGATGGCGGGCCCTGGCCCTGGGACACACCCACCCGGCGCACGGATGAGGACCATGTGCTGCCGTCCTGTCCCCTTAAGTCCTCGGGCTGTGGCTGGACAAGCTGCCTTCTGGGGTCAGGCTTGCTGTAAAGGAAAGGCCACACCTATCCTAAAAGCTGGGATCTGCTGGATCCTGCTGGAGCATGGACTAACAGAGTGAAGACCGGGGCCAGTGGCTTTCCTCATTAAGCAGGACATCTGGCCAGCTCATCCCTGAGTGTGTCCAGGAGGGGATGAGCTTGAAATCAATTTAGCCTGCTGCATATTTGATTTCCTAGGGTCCACTTGCCGAGCGAGGAGACTTCGTCAGAACTGCAGCAGGAGATTGCCATGGAGACCAGAGGACTGGCAGAGTCTAGGCGAAGCTCCTACACCAGCCAGGGGCCCGCCAGGTAACCGATCAGGCTCAGCGCTCACCTTGGGAAGAGGGAGACTGAGGCAGGAAGAATGTAGATGAGTTTCAGGAAGAAGTGGGGGTGGGAGACAGGGGGCGGTGGTGGAGGTGGAGCTGAAGATTTGGAGAAGAAAAAGGGACAGAAGAGCAGTCAGAAGTCTACCCCTGAGGAATATCCTCTCAGGTCAAGCGTTCTGAGCTGAGAAAAATGTAAGAAAAACTGCTGTTATCTGAAATTGCTTTCATATAAAGTGATATTGAGGTACTTGCTCAAGTCTGGAAGAATTTAGAAAAAAGCCAACCAGGAGGGGTTCCGAGAAGAATTGAGAAACGAGACCAGCCAGCCGCAGGAGAGCCCTGGTGGACCTCAGTGGTGTGCAGATGGCCCTAGGAGCCACTGTCCGAGAGAGCCTCTGGCAGGCCCTCTTGGGTGCCTGTCTAGGCTTCCTGGCTCACGTCCTTGTGAAAGGATTAGAAAGAGGGTCCCAGCTCTGAGCCGATGATACCTGTACTAGGGCTTCGAGAGCTGTGCCACCTTGAAGAAGTCATCTTACCTTTCCAGATCTCATCTGGACAACTGATCTCACGCATCAAACAACGTGAGGCCCGCATCAGAGCCAAGTGCTGACTCACAACAGGTGCTCAACAAACGTGGGGATTATTTCTTTCCACCAATTTTTTTTTTAACCAATGCTGTAGTTTTATATAGTCATGTGTTCTACAGTTTTTGCTTAAGATTATTGCAAAAATTAATTCCTCTAGTTATTCTTCATATATTTAATTGTGAAGGAATGTTTCTTTTACTAGCACCTTGTGGCTGGGCATTTCCACGATTTCTGGTGTTTTCGTCTTACTAATAAAATGCTGTCTGAAGGCTCACTGACTGCAAGGACACCTTCACACCAGTTAATATTGAAAGGCCTGGGGGAGGGCCGAGGCAGGAGGCTGGTATAAGCTCAGACCAACCACCTCATGGAAGGGGAGCCCATGGGGGCTCAAGAGAGGGGAGTTGGGGGCGGGGGTGTGGCACCTGTCCTTTCCCTTTCATTTTCTCCTGGAGTGTCATGATCTTTGTGATTTATTTTTTTTTTTTCCTGCATGTCTCCTCTGTTTCCGGCTTTCTCTGTTCACACATCAGCCGGCACAGGCTGAAAATGGCTTTTGCTATACAATCCTGAGTTCGAACACCCAACCCCAATTTGGAGTGGTTTTTAGTTCAGAGACTTGAGTGACTTTCTGTGGGTGTCTTGTCCATTCCTGGACCTGTCGGCTGAAACTGGAGTTGGGAGCATGACCTTGGTTCCAGCCCCTCAGCCAAGGGCGGATGGGGAAGGGAGGAGTGTTCAGAGCAGGGAGGCTGGGCTGGGCTGGGCAGGCACCTCCACGTCTGTCTGCAGCAGCAGCTGTCAACATCTCTGGGCGTGGAATGTCTTCTGGCTTTAACTCATTCTCCTAGGCAAAGTTCTCAAGTGTGTGATTAGGGTGAAGGCATGCAACGGCTCATGACCTCGTTCTAGGTTGCTCAGAACTCATTTGATTGAGAACAGGGGTGTGCACCCAATGGTGCCAAGTCAGGGCAACCAGATACCAAGAAACAGAGGTCAGGCTCTCTTCTCATTCCCCTTTGGGAGAGACAGGGGAGGCAACAGGCAGGGCTAAGGGAGAGCTTCTCATGGAAAGCTGAAGCTAAGATGGGCTCTGGGGACATGGGCTGACTGGTCTCAGGTGCTTGTGGTCCGGCAGGACCTGGCTCTAGGAGACGGGTCAAGGCAACTTGCAAAGAAACTTATGCACAAGCCTGGGGAGGGAACAAGAGTCTGTATAACAAATAAGACAAGGGTTAGGAAAAGAATCTAAATTGTAGGTGGGCATTTGTTCCTTTAAACCTTGTTCTGAATTTTATCACCATTTGCAGATTGGATTCTTTTCTATTTCTATGCTTACCAGTCATAACAAAGAGCTCTACAAAAGAAATGATAAGCAGAAAGGCTTCTGATGCCCCATTTGAAGGATCATGCCTTTGGCAGAGCCCAAGTGTTAAAAGAACAAAGTTATAATGAAGACAATGCCCCTTTAGCTCTGTTCCAGACGGCAGATGATGGAGGAGAAGGGAATAAGTCCCCAGCAGAGTGGAGATGCACACCTGAGCCCGGGGCCCCCAGGACCCATGTCCTGCCAGTCATCCCTGCTTCCACCCCAGGCCAGGAAAAGAAGGCTTTCCGTCTCCTTCCTCTCTGCATTGGCTGCCTGTCCATGTCCTTCCAGGATGTCTCGCCTGATCATCTCACTGCGAGCATGGGCCACCAGGCACGTACACCATGAGGCCCAGAGAACGGACTCATTCCTGGAGCGTTTCCGTGGAGCTGAGCTAAAGGAGGTGTCCAGCCAAGAAAGCAATGCCCAGTCAAATACGGGCAGCCAGGAGCCACCAGACAGAGGGAGAGGGTAAGGAACCAAAGGGATGAGCCACCGGCACCACACAGGGGGGTGCAGAAAGCACCGCTTCGCTCCTGCTGCTAGATCCACTATGTGGGGGGCCTGGGGCAGGCACCAGCCTCGTGACCAGGACCTTGAAGATGGTGTCTGGGGTGGGGGAGTCCTGCGTGCTCTAACAGCCACAGCCCTGAGTCCAAGAAGGACTGCAGGAGAGGAAACCCTCTCACCAGAATCCCCAGTGTCATTTGATCCTGCACTCCAGCGCACCCTGGAGTCAGTGCTCTCAAACACATCTGGGGATGCTGCCCCCCCACACCTCTCTCCATCAAAGGACCCTCATTCTAGATTGCACGCTGACCCACCTTACTAAAAACCAAGGACTTTAATCCATAAATCTTGGGAGTACCTAAACGGTACCCACAATTCTATGCTTAGGTTTACATAGTCTTCTGGGAGGAAAGTCTTGCAGATTGGTCAGAATGTTCAAGAGGAGGCATCCATATCTCAGATCAGGATAAGAACCAGGGGGTGGGGAGTGTAGGTAGGGGTAGGGTGGGGCATGGGGAGAGTGTTTGCTTTTTGATAGGAGAAGGGTCTGCAGAGCAAAGGCTCTGCAGAGCAAAGGCTCTGAGCAACTTTGTGCATGGCCCACCGCCTGACTGGGGGCTGTGGCTGGTACAGATATTTGAGAGAAATCTGCAGGTGCTGACTTCACCCCACACCCCCACACCCCACACACACAGCTGTTGCCTCCCCTCCTCTCTTGTTCTTGGGAAGTCTCCCCAGCCTGTGGTCAGCAGGGAGACCACTGGGCCACCACAGGTTGAATCCAGGGACACTGAGCAGCAGAAGGTCTCTTTAGGATGCTCTGGGCAATTGGAGAGGAAGAAAGGAGAGGTAAGATATGGAGATGGAGGCTGACCACCTTGGAGCCTCTCAGACAGGAAGCCTCTTGCTCAGAATCTGCTTTCTGGAAAAGGGGCCTTAGGAAGGTCTTTTGGCTGAATTCTCTAGGTAATGACAAGATTTATAAAGTGCAAAGGTGAAAACAAGCACGGTTGTAGCAGAACAGATGGTCCCTATATAATTACTAGAGAAAATCCTGCATGTTTTTTTGTCAAATGAGCTGAAGAAGGGCTCAGGTGTGAGCAACTCAAACAGGCATCCCAGGGTTCCTGGGGAGGGAAGGTCATGCAGCCTCAGAGGAAGCAAGATGGATCTTTCTGGTGCTTCCATTTTTCTTCCATGTTTGTATGTTTGTGTCATAGGTTTATTATAGATTATGCACTAGATTGCAAAATATACAAGCATATTTAAGAGGAAATGTGAGAGTTCAAGGAAAATTTCTTGCTAGCAACCACTCTAGGACAGCCACCTTTAGTCTCCCTACCAGGAAGGGCATGAAAATTGCTGGCTGAGATACAAAGGCCTGGCATTCTCGGGCTCATGTTTTCACCTGGGTTTGGACCACAAACCCTCGGTTTTCTGGGCTTGGGAAGAGATGGTGGAGGGCCTGGGTGCTGGTGGGGAGGTGTGCCAGGCCATCCCAGGTTCCCAGGGCCAGGCATCCTAGACTGAGAGGGAGCTCCATGATGGTAAGGCTTATGTGCTGTTGGCTGCTGAACCAGAAAGAAAGGAGGGATGGCAGATAAGGAAGAAAAGAAGGCAGAGGAGGAGGAGGGGAGAGGTTTGCTACCGAGCTAGGCAGACTGGTTCAGTTCCTGGTTGGCAAGCAAAGACTTCCTCTGCTAACTTGATCAAATTGTCTTCTCTACAAGCTTAGCCTAATGAAGATGAACATTGGCCTCTTTGTCCCTTTCCCAATGTTACCAGATGAGCAAAGGGTTGGGCTAGGACCCTCTCAGAGCCAGGTCCCAACTGTACCTCAGATGTCTGGTCACTCATCCGAGGATTCAGAGTAGGTAGGTACATGCAATGGTGTAGAATGACGGCTGATCAATCAGGGAGGCTTCCTAGGGGGAGGAAGACTTTGGATTTTCCAGGCAAATCCCATTGGCAAAGCAGAAAGTATGCAAAGACTGGTCTTGGTTATTCTGTTGGTTTGGCCTTAAGAGACCCCCAGACAAAGAGATGTGGTGAATACAGGCCACTGCACTGCAGGGAGCTACACTTTCTTTTCCAATTTCACACGGGTTGCAAAATTCTTTGGGAGACTTTCCGATTATCAGAACCTCTCCCCAAACAGGCAGTTAGAGCCACATCCTGAACAGTGAGAGGGAGGAAGAATTGAGCGGGGGTGAGCAAAAGTACCAGAAAGGCATTTGGCTCTATGTTCAGTATCACAGAAATGAAGAGGCTCCCTGAGAGCCAGGCGGGAGTATCACCGGCCACGACTTTGGTCCCGGCCGTCCTCTGTGAATGGTCTACAGGGATGACAGACAGGCGGCTGTGAGGCCACGCTGGCTTTCTTAAACTAGCTGTGTCACAAACGTGTGTGTGAGCAATTGAGCTCTAGGAGATAATGCCTTTTCCTAGAGACCACCGGGAAGGGCTGTGCGACTCAGCCTTAAATAAACGTGCAGCTGGGTGCAAAACCAGCCTCTACTCTCTACCCAGTTCTCCTGTAGATCAGGACTGGCAGGCCTGGAAGTGTTAAGATTAATGTGGGGAGAAGGGCCCAGGGCAGGACAGACTCAAAACTGGGACAGTTCCGCCCACGGTCTATTTTTTGCTCTGCAAGTTGGAAGCAGCTGCTGTGACTGCGTTTTCAAGGTGCAGGGAGGGCGCCTTCTGAGAGCCCCGCCCGTGCAGATGAGTGGAGCAGGTTGCTGCTGCCTGTGCATTCTGAAGGCGCTCAGCCCTCCTCACCTGAGAGAGCAGGTGCCCCTCAGATTCATGTCTGGGTCCCAGGTGGCTCCTGGTATACTGCCCGGCATAGGGTTGAACTAAATGAAACTGAGGGCACCGCGAGGCCAGGTTTGGGTGGGACTCACAAAGCAACTCTCACTTATTCAGAAGACTCAGTTCAGCCAGAAGTTCATCCTTTCTTCCCACCAGGCTTTACTAGAGCCAACCAGTCATCAAAAATTTTTGTTCAGGGTGCTTCAAGCTGTGTGGAAAGAACCAGGGGACTGGGGATGCAGGTACTGGAATAACCACCCGGGGCAGATGGCCCCCAGCCGCTGGCGCTGAGCTCAGATTCCCATGCTGCATTCTTTTTACTTCCCTGCAGTGGCTGGCCCCTGGCCAGAAACAACACCAACACCTGCAACAACTCAGAGGAGTGAGTACCTCTGCTCCCCAGCAGAGCCCCTCGCCTTCCCTGGTCCCACCGGCCGCCTTCCTCCCAGTAGGTGCCCCAGCTCCGCCACCCTGCTAAAACGCATCCACTTCCCACCCTCCCAGAACACCACTAGACTAGAACCCTATTCCTTTCATCCTGTGGACAAATGGGGAAGGGACCTGGTCCGTATGACTTCTTGGAGCAAGTCATGTTCTGTCCTTCCCTCACTTTTCCCATCTATAATGCGGAGGGGTTATATTGCATAAATGTTTTAAGCCTTGACATCCTCTCTCGCTACGGATTTGAGGGTACAGTCTCTGAGTTCCTTTACAGAGCTGTGGATATCCTCCTTCATGATGAGAATGTGTTTTCCATTCTCCAACTTCAAGTTCCAGGATGCCCCAGTGAAATGCTCTTGTCCTAAGGCTGATCTGAGCCAATTTGGAGGGTGTGATCAGGACAGTGGGAAGAGGAAATGTAGATAGTTCCAGAGGATAGCCTCTTGAAATGCTGACCTGCTGTAATTACTTTTTCTCACCAGATGCTGATTTGGCAAATCAGTTTGAGGTGTGATTCTGGCAAGTGCCCCTCAGGAGTCCAGGGAGGGTGTGTGCGTGAGTGTGATCATGCCCTCGTGTTAGCACGTGTGTGTGTGTGTGTGTGTGTGTGTGCACCATTCTCCAGCCTTCTTTATGGAGTACCATGGGGATAGGCACTGGAGGAAGTCTCATTTGGAGCTTAGGGGGGGAAACCATCAATATCAGCAAGAAATCTGGATTTCCTGACTTGCATTTGAAAGAGAAATGTGTCAAGGCTTTTTTCTTATTTCCCTTTGTTCCTTGGATAGAAGTTTTTCCCATTTCCCTCCATGAAACCTAAATGCATTTTGTTCTCATAAATGTAGATATCCAATCCAGAGAATCAAATACAAGATAAATGAAATTATTTAATCTGTGAAACAGCAGCTATTTGATGTGTGCTTGATCTAAAGCCAAACTTACTATTAAACACCGTTGAATCCCCAGTGTTGGGTCCTGCAGTCAGAGAAAGGCCCGGGGTGCTGGTAACCACGGACAGAGGTCCTGCAGTTCTCTAGCCTTCTCTGTTCTGGGACTGGGATGTAGGCGAGGATGGAGGAAGATGGTGTTGGCTGAATCAGGCTCTTATAAATCTTTGGTGTTAGGTGCGAATCCTGGATCCACACAGCAGGCCGAGGACTGAGGGACAAAATTGAGGACTGTCCCAAAATGGGACCATCTGGGCACAGAATTACAGAAATAATTCCTATGGACATCCTTCCCCATTCTTCCACCACGTTTCTAGCATTTTCACTTAGCCCCATGGGTCCTGAATCATTTTTCTCTCTCCTGGAGCAAAGGGCTCCTAGCCCAAACTGACGTTGTTTTGTGGCTCTGTATAGGGGAGTGCTGGGTGGGTTCAGGGATGTGGTTGGATGGCGCTGGGTCTTTCATAGGCCCACAGCAGGTTGATAAGCAGGGGAAAGGCCAAGTCATATAACCTCCAGCCTTCTCATTCTTGCCTGGTGGTAAACTCCGGCAGAGCTGAGCTGCCTGATAAGCTTGTGGGCAGCGCCCTCTGCTGGTTTCTTGGCATTAAGACGTCAGTGGCAGTCCTTATTCTTCTAACAAGTTTAGTAATTTTTTAATTTTTATTCAATTTATTCATGTATTCACTTTCAAAAACTTGGAAAACACAGAAAAGCACCCATGAGCATACACCCTCCAAAAATATACTTCATTTTAGTAGTGGAATCCCATTATCGGAGATGATCCCTCTTAACATGTTGGGAAATATCCCTCCAAGTTTTCTATATTTACTTAATAGATAGATAGATAGATAGATAGATAGGAATAAAGAATATGTTATATAAAATATGTAGTGTATATGCTGGTATATGCTATAATTATTATATAGAATATATAATTTTTATTAGAATTATACATAATTACATATATAGATACATATTGTGATCAATATATATCATCTCTCTAATATAATATTATCAATGTATATATATGCCAGTTAAGCTCACTTGTATCCCAATTCAGCCACAAAGAGCTTTGTGACCTTGGGGAAGTTACCTGACCTCTCTGTGCATCAGTTTCCTGACTTGAAAATTAGGGTTTGTATTAATGTCTGTCTTACGGGGTTGTGTGAAGACTAAATATATGAATCCATGTGCAGTGCTTAGGACAGTGCCTAGTACATAGTAAGTGCCCAATAAATACTGAGTAGCAAGGTAGGCAGAACAATTTCACCACCACCTCCCTAAAGATGGCTACATCCTAATCTCTGGAGAGATTACTTTATATGGCAAAGTGGACTTTGCAAGTGTGATTAAATTTGAAGACCTTGGAGATTATCCTGGATTATCAAGTGGGCCCAGTGTAATCACAGGAGTCCTAAAAAGCAGAAAGGGGGAAAGAGTGGGTCCACAAGATGAGATGGAAGGAGAAGGAAGAGGATTTTCAATGTGGGAAGGTAACTGCTGGCTTTGAAGAAGGAGAAAGGGGGACACAAGGCAAGGCATACAGCAGCCTCACAAAGCTGGCCAGCCCTCCACTTTCAGCAGCAAGAACACGGGGACTTTGGTCCTACAGCGTTAAGGAACTGCCAACAACCCTGGTGAGCAGGAAACAGATTCTGCCCCAGGGCCTCCAAAAAGAAGCGCAACTTGCCCGCCCCTTGAATTTTGTACAGTCAGACTTATACCAGACTTCTGATCTACAGAATTATAAGATAACACATGTGGGTTGTTTTAAGCCTCTGTGTTTGTGGTAATTTGTTATGGCAGCAATAGAAAACTAGTAAGGCACCTTTTGATTACCAGGATGGGGCTACCGCTGAAACAAATACCGAGCAATGTGGGAGTGGCTTCAGAGCAGGCTCCAGAAGAATCCTGAGGAGCATAACTAAAGAAAAAAAAAGTCTAGATTGCTTCGAATAGGTTGGTGGTAGAAATATGGATATTAAAGACTACCAGTGAGGGCTTGGAAGAAAATGAGGAGCATTACAGAGAAAACCTAAATTGCCCAAGCACCTTGTTGCTTGGATGGTTATAAATGGACTATTAGTAGGGACTCAGGACTTTAAGGACGCTGCTGGTGAGGACTTGCAAAAAAATGAGCAGGCTTTTGGAAACAGGAGAAAAGGGGACTCTTGCTTTACGGTGGCAGGAAGCGTAGTGCAATTATGTCCCACACCTGCAGGAAGGGTGGAATGCAGAAATTGTAGGCAATGAGCTTGAATGTTTAGCTGAGGGTATTTCCAACCAAAGGTGTTGAAGGTCCAGCCTGGTGACTTCTTGCTGCTTATGGTAAAACCCAAAAGGAAAGAGATACATTGAGGGAAGAATTGTAAACAAGAAGGAAACGGGACTTCATGATTTTGGAAATTCACAGCCTATTCAAATGCAAAAGATACTAAATTTTAAAAACTGTCAGGAAATCGTGCTTTGAGAAAAAGTTGAAGGTGTGGCTGAGCAACCTTTTGCTATTACCTCAGAAAGATCAAAAGTACTGAGTAGTGAACAAAGGATTCCCTGAAGAGATTAAGGGTGTGACTCACAGCTCCCCTCTGCCTGCACGCCCACAGAAGCCAAAAATAGAGAAGGGATTTCTCAAAGATCTGTGGATGAGCCACTTGTCTAGCCCAGTGAATCCCTCTCATAAACATGACCTGAAATGTTCTGGAAGATTTCCTACCAGCAGAAAACACTGCCAGCTTAGACGAGAAGGGGCAGAAATGGAGGCAGAATGTGGGACCCCTAAATTCTAGATGCAGGAAACAGGTTGATTAGAATATTCAGCTATAAATAGACAGGTGCTCCCTTTAAGGAGGAAGAAAGGATTGCTGGGAGGGGAGAGCCTTGAGCCCAGAGGGTAGAGGCTTGAAAACCACAGAGGATTATTCTCAGGCCTTGAGACAGAATGGCAGTTGCCCCACTGAATTTTATCACTTGTGACCAGTAACTCTCTTGTCCTTTGGTCTTCTCCCTTTTTGAAATGGAGTATCCAGAACTGATATCCTATACCTGCCCTCCCATGGTATCTTTGGAGCAGATGGTTTGTTTTAGTCTCACAGGTTCACAAGGAGAGGGGCTCACACCCAGAGTCGTGAGATTCCGGTTTAGATGATAAGATTTGGCACTTTTCAGCTGAGGAGACTTTTGGACTCCGAGTTGATACTATCATGGGGTGAAACTTGTGTGTGGGGGGGTGTCTTGGAATGAGGGTGAATGCATTTAGCCCATGGGGTGGATATAAATCTTTGGGGGCTGAGGGACAGACTGTGGTAGGGGGCATAATGGCTCCCCCAAAAGTCCAGGCCTTAATCTTCACCTCCTGTGACTACGTTACCTCACACAGCAACAGGGACTTTGCAGATGTGATTAAATTTCAGGAGCCTGAGCTTATGCGGGATTATCAAGGTGGGCCCGGTCTAATCAAAAGCATCCTTTAAAGTGGAGATTTCCAGCTGCAGAGAACCAGAGAGACCGGCATCTCGAGAAGGGCTCCACCTGCTGTTGCTGGCTTTGAACACAGAAGAAGGACGCCAGTAACCAAGGTCGCAACAGCCTCTAAACGCTGAGGATGCCCTTGGCTTACAGCCAGCAGGAAAAAGAGGATCAAATTACAGCAAGGAATTAAATTCCACCAACAACGCAAATAAGCGGGAAACAGAGTCTCTCCTGGAATCCTCAGAAAGGATCACAGCCCTGCCAACCCCTCAATTTCAGGACAGGGAGACCCAGACCAGACTTCCGACCTACAGATCTGAAGTGTGGGTTGTTTTAAGCCAATAACCAGTGACAGTTTGTTCTGGCAGCAATAGAAAACTCACACAGCTATTATTCTGTGCTGTTTTCACAGTCTGCTTTTAACTTGGCAAAATATTAGAAAGGTTTTTCCGTGTCACCAAATACTCTTCCACATCATTTTGAGGGGCCTCGTAGAGTTCCACTGTGGACGAATGTCCTCCTGTTGTAGGGTTAGATTGCTTATGCTGCTCACGGTTAGAAACAGTGGCGGGTCATCTTCCCGTGCGCATGTTTGCACACATCTTTGATTATTCCCTTAGGTCATGCTCTGTAAAGTATATTGGGCTTTTTCAGTGAGTGCTTATTTCTCAACCCTGGGCCTTCCTCCAGGATGTGGAATAGGGGGATCCGAAGGGTCTGTGGGTGATTCCGGTGGGTTCCCCAGAGGCGGGCAGGGTCTTTTACCTTCCGCTTGGTTTCTTCAATGGCTCCCTGGGCAGTAATGCCTGCCTTCCAGACCTGGTGTGACTATGAACGGACAACCTTTTTAACAGCGCTAAGGCATAAAGGTATGCCATAAAGGAGAGGAAGCAGAGTAAAGCCATGTGCTCGGGAGACACCTGCCCTCACAGGACCTCCCTGCAGATGTGGACAGGTGCCTCACCATCTGCCACCATCTGGACAGGTGTCTGAACATGGTGGCCTTTGCCTCAGGCGACTCTAAGATTTTCCATTGCCTGTGTGTATTTTGCTTCCCTTTTCCTCCCTGGCTTCCTCATCAAGGACCAGGCTTTCATTTGATACACAGGTGGGTTTTGAGAACAGCCAACAAGCCATACCCCTCCCTTCAGGACGAAGAACCTTACATGTGACTTCGAAACTCCGGGGGACTTTTCTGCCCACCGTGTGTGGATGTGGGTTCCTTTCCTGTTACCTCAAAATGTCTCTGGTCTCAAGCTCTTTGTGACTTCCTAGGGACTCATGAAAGTGGGTCAGAAACTGTAGACCATTAGCCCAGAACTCTATGCATACTTTAACGTGTACAGTGTATGCTTTAATGGGTTGGTTTACCTCCAATCTCAGGAATAGTAATAGCGATAAAATCAGTAACCTCGTTTCATCCCTGTGAGCTGGAAGTATCCATATCCTATTCCACACCCTCTCCTCCTTGTGACTGTTGCCCACCCTCTCCACTGTGGTAGTAGTGTCCTTGGCCTATGAACATTGCTCAATGTCCCCCTGTATCATCCAGTGACAAGGCGAAAAAGGAGGAGAAGGAGAAAAAGGAAGAGAAAGAGAAAAACTCCACAAAACAAGAGGAGTAAGTACTGAGAAGAGCTGCCTCCAACGAAGGGGTGCAGAAGTCAGGCCTGGGCCCCCTCCCACCTCCAAACCGGGTCCTGGGAGTCTGAGAACCATGTCGCCAGGCCCTGGTGTCGGTCCTGGAAAGGGGCTGCAGAGTTGGTCCCAGGTGGGGCTTGGGCTTCCTGAGATGGCGTGAGGGGCCCACTCTGCAGGGAGAGTCCTGCCCCAGCTCTGAGCACCCAGAGGGGGATTACAGGTGGAGAGGACTGTCTGCAGCCTTGGGTGAGCAATCAGGGGCTGTCCCTGTGAGCCTGCCCCTGTGCACTCCCACCCTACATTCCGTTCGTCTGTCTGTACAGTCGGGGTAAGCTGAGGCCTACTCCTGGGCACTAGGAAATGCTATATTCTCAAACTTGACTCCAAACCCAGCAGTGATGTGCATCAGGAACATTCCAAAGCCCTGTCAGTGAGCTGTTGATCTTGGACGTGGTGAGGCAAGGCAAAGAAAGAAAGACATCCCGAGGTCTCCCCTGGGGCATGGGAGCAGCCCTGCAATCCCGGGCCAGCTTGTAGGGCATACGGGATGGGGGACAAGGCTCATGGACCCAAAGGAAAAGGAGAATTTCCAGTGCCACTTATAAACTCTAATCCTTAGAAAATCCTGAAAATAAAAACAGAAAGCACCCTAAACTATTGCTCCCTTCAGTGTTGGTCCATATAACCTAGAGGATTCCCAGATGAGTTGATTTTGACGGAGAGGCAGGATCCAAGCCCTTGACATGAGTCTTTAGATCACCTGCACAAATGCAGTTAGCTCCCAAATGCAATCCCGAGAGGAGCTATTTCGGAACCTCTGGACAGTGTCTAAATGCACATCTCTAGCCCTGGCCCTGGAAGGGTTCTGGGTGGGCCCTGGGAATCAGCATTTCCACAGAGCTCCCCCAAATGGTTCCAGCATTACCATGCTGTAATTGCTTCCCAACATCCTGAAGGACATGGGTGATACCGTGGGCACATGGGAGTGTCATCACCATCATTTTATTGTCAGCTGTGGCTTCCTGAGGAGCTGAGCTAGGTGGGAAGGACCTCCAGAGTCTGCCCTCTCCCAGCCTGTCCCCCCCATGCGGGGACACCCCATGTGACCCCCTGATACTGACAAGACGTGTCCCTTGAGTTTAGCCTGCAGTTGCTCTATGGTCTGTAAGCTAAACAAGATTTCTAAGACTGTCCAGTGCTGCGATCTTTCAACACACTACATTGTTTGTGTGTCGGTGTTTCCAGAAAAAAGAAGGACAGCATTGTGGTGGATCCCTCCAGCAACATGTACTACAACTGGTTGACAATCATTGCCCTGCCTGTCTTCTACAACTGGTGTCTGCTGGTGTGCAGGTAGGGGAGAGTGGGCAGGGTCTCCACACTAGGAGGGGAGAAGGGTGGAGGGGCCAGGAAAGGTGAGGGCAGTCAGGCCTCAAGACAGAGCTCTGGGTCCCAGTCAGGGGGCTGGGTTTCCAGGCCCCATGCAGCCACCATTCAGCTGTGTGTCCCCACTTCTAAAAGAGGACTGTCTTCAAGAGTTCTCTGAACCACTGGTGAGGACCTGTGCTGGCTATGGACAGCAAGGGTCCTGTCACCTTGGAATAGTCTTAATCCAGCTGGAGGAGGAAGATGCAGGGTCGAATAGCTACTCTTCTGAGGGGAAGTAGGTGGTGATTGGGCATTCCTGAGCAGCCGACAGGATGGGGGCTACAGGGGGCTATGCTCTTCTGAGGCCAAACAGGACCTTTGAGCATCCCTGAGCAAGCTGCAGGCCGGAGATGCAGGGCAGGCCGCTGCTCTCCGTGGACAGGCAGGGCCTTTGGGGCATTTCTGAGAGAGTTTGTAGGAGAGAGATGTAGGGATCCCTTGTCTCTCCTCTGATGGGGTTGGTGGGAGTGTGTGCGGCCCGAGGAAGGCACAGGGCAAGAATGCAGGGACAAGAGCCACGCTTCCTAAGTGCTGGGCTTTGGAGCCTTCCTGTGCAAGCCCATGAGACAGGCGTGCGTGGGTGAGCAGCTGCCCTTCCACAGTGGCTGAGGCTTTGGGTGCTCTGGAGGTTGGGGGGAGGCTACTCTTCTGAGGGGGCAGGGGTTTGGCAAGGTTCTTGAGCAAGCAGTTGGAGGACAAAGGGGCAAGCCACTGTTCTTCCAGAAGTACACAGGAGACTTTGGGGCTTTTTCTAAGCAAACTTCAGGGCAGGACAAGGGGTAAGTGGCTACTCTCTGAGAGTAAGTGACAGGGTTCAGGTCAAAGATGCAGGACAAGGATGTAGGTTGAGCTGCTTCTCTTTGGGGGGTGGATGGGGAGGTGCGGGCAAGGCAGGGGGACTCTGGGGGCAATCCTGAGCTAGTCGGCAAGACAGACGGCAGCTGCTTCTGTGGGGCTGGGGAGAAGACAAGCTACTGTCTGAGTGTAAGTGGGGGCTTTCGGGATTCTCTGAGCAAGGTGGGGGGATCTCCTGCTCTTCTGAGGGGAAGTGTGGGTGTGAGAAGGGGGAGAACTTGGGGCAGCTCCTATGTGGGTGAGCTGTCCTGTGCGAGCAGGGGGTCCTGGAGAAGCTGCAATTCTGAGGCAGCAGGGGGCTTGGGTTGCTGATCGAGCTGCAGGGTGGGGACACAGGCACCAGCTGCTGCTTTTTTGAGGTGAAGAGCGTATTTGAGGGGTACTCTTTGTGTGAGAAATAGTAAGCATATGGACCTAGAAAGCAGAAAATATTTACCGGCTTGTTCAGCTGTGAATTTCTGAGAAATTCCTCTAGTTTGTTGGCATCTGACCCCAGAGGGGCCAGGTGCTCCGTCTCTGCCCCCATCAGCGACTCCATCAGTGAGGCCTGGAAGAACTGCCCGCTTCTGGGATCCCAGAGCTCACTGTCGAGAGGCCGCAGGGCTCTCTCTTTGGGACAGCAAGCTGCTCAGAGCTGCGTCTCCTCATCAGAGCCTGGGATGGTAACGCTGGGGAACAAACCCTGCCAGCAGGGCTGATACCAGGCTGAACACTGCCGTGCTCAGCCCAGAGCTGGTGCCTGCTTGGGACTGGCCCGGGACATGCGCACTCCTTCCCTCACTTGCCTAGGGCCTGTTTCGACGAGCTGCAGTCCGAGCACGTGATGTTGTGGCTGGTCCTGGACTACTCGTCCGATGTCCTCTATGGCATGGATATGCTGGTGCGAGCCCGGACAGGTGAGTGGGGCAAGGCCCAGGGACTTCCCTGGGAACTAGGCCACAGACACACCTCATGTCTCAGGAGGGGGACCGTGGGGACTGGTGACAGGTTCAGGAGATCCAGAATGGTAAGCATTACCTCCCCATGTCCATGAGAGCCCTGGCGGGTCTAGGGAAGCCCCAACAGTGAGGACGTGGTACTGCCTTATGGTTCCCTGTACAGTGGCCTTTTAGCAGAGGTCAGGATACGGGGGTTCTGGTCCCTGCTGTCCCAACGACCTGTGGGACCTTGAGCAAATCAAGTTGTCTCTCTGGGCCTCATTTGTATCACCTGTGAAATAAGAAGGCCAAACTGTCATCTGTCAAAGGACCCCTCTGGCAGCGACAGTTCAGTATGGCAGGAAAAAGGAGAAAGAGCTCCCTCAATCTTTGGAGCTCCTTTCTCTGGACAGCTGGAGGATCCAGGACAGGTTACAATGTGGTTTTAGATGTATGGAGGCATGAAATCAGAAGCAGGGCCCACGTGCATGATGACTTCCCTCAGATCACCTCTGGTTTTGAGTGGCGGCTAAATTAACCCCCCATGTCTGAGGGTCCTAGCTATGTATCCTTGGGGCACCTTTTTCTAATCTGCACAAAGACTTCCCATCAGCCGGCAAGGGCCTGGCTTGTCACTTCTAAGCTTTTTGAGCTGAAAACCATGCCATAGCTGTCGCTGTAAAGAACAGCACCACATCACAGCAGCAAGCCTCCATGTGACTTCCTGGTGTAGAAAGCATTTCAAGCACCTCTTGGTTTCTCACGAGATCTTCTGCATGAGACAGGAAGCACAGGCATGATTATCTCCATCTTCAGAAACTGAGGCCCAGAGACGCTGAGTGACTGGCCCAAAGTCTACAGTCACTACCTGGCAGGGCCAGACCAGCAACCCCTGCTTCCACTCAGTGCCCAGCATCATAAGTTAGAAGACCTCTGGAGCGCCTGGGCAGCTCAGTCGGTTAAGCATCCGACTCTTGATTTCAGCTCAGGTCATGGTGTGGTCTCAGGGTTCTGCATTGGGCTCCTTGCTCTGCCTGCTGCTCCCCCTGCTTGTGCGTGCTCTCCCTCTCTTAAACAAATAAATAAGTCTTTAAGAAAAAAAAGAAGAAGAAGACCTCAAGTATGCAGCTTAAAGGTTGCATGAGTAACTTAGTCCCAGTGTTCTGCCACTTCGTGGTGACATAAGCCTACTGAGACATGAGAGCTCCACGGGGGGCCCAACTCATGGAACCAGCTATCCCTCTTTCAACCAAGCTTCAGTGGGAGAAGTTACCCCACTTAGACAGGGATTCCACCCCTTTCTGTGCTTGGGTGCTATCGCTGGCAATCTAAGATTCAGCAGGAAGCCTTGTGGGGAAGACAGTTAGGCACAGAAACCAAGTGGCCATGGGTCATACTCAAAAGAGAAAAAAGTCTTCAGAATTGAGAGAGGATGTTATTAAGGAAATAGGGAGAAGCCCCATGGCATAGGAGTGCCGTGGAATGATCTAGGCACTCAATAAACACAAAGGTAACCAAAGAATGAACTAGGGAATTGGGGCCTGGGAGGCAGGGTGTCCCTACCACATGATCACAAACTTGATGTTTGCTTTTCACAAAAGGGGCAGTCCGGCCTCCGTTTAGCCCTCAAAGTGTGGCCCTGGATCAGCAGCAGCATCATCCAGACCTTGTTAGAAGTAGACCCCAGACCTATGGAACCAACGGTGGGGACAGCCTGGACTCTGGGTTTCACAGAACCCTCAGTATGAGTCTGATGCTTACCAAAATCTAAAGGACATTCTTTATATCTCTACTTTTGTGCATGTTTGAAAGAAAAGAAAAAGAAGAATGAAAGTCTCAGCCTACTTGACTGAGTTCAGCAGTAATAACACCTCCTGAGTCTTCCACGCCCAGCTCAGCGCCAGACCAGACCAGTCTGAATGCTGCAAAAGTTTTCAGAGCCCTTGGGATGGCAGTAAGGTGCAACCCCAAAGGAGAGTTACTGCTTCCGTAGGCAATGTTTTTAAAAGGGAGGTCATGCCCCATCGGTGGCTGGTGAAATCAGTTTGAAGGGCCATGTGCTTCTACAATTTTTATCATTAATATTTTCAAACAAATATGAAGTTGGAGACAGTAGTATTATATAAATCCCCATGTACCTTCATCCAGCTTCAGCAGTTACCAACATTTTACTAATGTTTCATCTCTCCCTGCCCAAGCCCTTTTCTTGGTTGGAGTAGTTTAAAGCCAATCTCAGACGGCGATCACTTTAATATGTATCTCTAACTTTAAAGGATGCATTTTAAAAAATATAATGTCCAGGGTCTCCTGGCTGGCTCACTCAGAAGAACGTGAGGCTCTTGATCTTGGAGTCGTGGGTTTAAGCCCCACATTGGGTGTAGAGATTATGTAAACAAATGTAAATATATATATTTAACACATCCATTTATCTTTAAAAAATTTAATAATCATTCCTTGGTATCTTCAAACAGCAGTCCCCATTCACATTTACCCAATTAATCTACATTTTTAATTGAATAAGACAGGTTGGAACATCCTAGATGAGAAAATATCAGAGTGCATTTTCATAGTAAGAGGTAAATGTGGCTTTTGAAATTGTTTCTGTCATGTATGTATAACTACGTCTTCTTTAGTTACAGTGTAAAATATTTTTCTGTGGGCCACGGTCACACACACACACACACAAAAGGCAGCCACTTTAATGCCCAAGTGACCTCCATCTTTTTCTTCAGGCTTCCTTGAACAAGGCTTGATGGTCAAGGATGCCCCGAGACTGTGGAAGCATTACACAAAGACTGTGCACTTCAAACTGGACATATTATCCCTGGTCCCCACAGACCTGGCTTATTTTAAGTTGGGCATAAACTACCCAGAACTGAGGTTCAACCGCCTCCTGAAGTTTGCCCGGCTCTTTGAGTTCTTCGACCGCACAGAGACGAGGACCAACTACCCCAATTTGTTCAGGATCGGGAACTTGGTCTTGTACATCCTCGTCATCATCCATTGGAACGCCTGCATCTACTTTGCCATTTCCAAGTTCATTGGTTTTGGGACAGATTCCTGGGTCTATCCAAACGTCTCAAACCCAGAGTATGGACGCCTCTCCAGGAAGTACATTTATAGTCTCTATTGGTCCACCTTGACCCTGACCACCATCGGGGAGACCCCACCTCCTGTGAAAGACGAGGAGTATCTGTTTGTGGTCATAGACTTCCTAGTGGGTGTCCTGATTTTTGCCACCATTGTTGGCAACGTGGGCTCCATGATCTCGAACATGAATGCTTCACGGGCTGAGTTCCAGGCCAAGATTGACTCTATCAAGCAGTACATGCAATTCCGCAAGGTGACCAAGGACTTGGAGACTCGGGTGATCCGGTGGTTTGACTACCTGTGGGCCAACAAGAAGACGGTGGATGAGAAGGAGGTACTCAAGAGTCTCCCAGACAAACTGAAGGCCGAGATCGCCATCAACGTGCACCTGGACACTCTGAAGAAGGTTCGCATCTTCCAAGACTGTGAGGCAGGGCTGCTGGTAGAACTGGTGCTCAAGCTGCGGCCTGCAGTGTTCAGCCCAGGGGATTACATCTGCAAGAAGGGGGACATCGGGAGGGAGATGTACATCATCAAGGAGGGCAAGCTGGCTGTGGTGGCTGATGACGGGATCACCCAGTTCGTGGTCCTCAGTGATGGGAGTTACTTTGGGGAGATCAGCATCTTGAACATCAAGGGGAGCAAGTCAGGGAACCGCAGGACAGCCAATATCAGGAGCATCGGCTACTCGGACCTATTCTGCCTTTCCAAGGATGATCTGATGGAGGCTCTCACCGAATACCCAGAGGCCAAGAAGGCCCTGGAGGAGAAGGGACGGCAGATCCTGATGAAGGACAACCTGATTGATGAGGACGTGGCCAGGGCCGGGGCGGACCCCAAGGATATTGAGGAGAAGGTGGAGCACCTGGAGTCCTCCCTAGACACCCTGCAGACCAGGTTTGCACGCCTCCTGGCCGAGTACAATGCCACTCAGATGAAAGTGAAGCAACGTCTCAGTCACCTGGAAAGCCAGGTGAAGATCGGCACGAGTGACCCTCTGGCTGACGGGGCCACTCCTGGGGAGGCTAAGAAAACAGAGACCAAACAACAGTGAAAGGCAGAGGTCCATGTCCTGCTTCCCAGAGTCCGCCATTGGCGTGATGCCCTGTGGCTACGGCTGAATGGCCCAGGACTCGGCAAGGCTGCATTTCCGTTCTCCCTCCCCTTTGCAAGCCATGTGGGACTGCAGGAGAGCCTCGGTTTCCTCATTTAGGAAGGAGGGGAGCTCATCATGTTGGCCCCAATTATGCAGCGGGTTATTGTGATATCCCCATTGAACACTGCATGGGGCAGGGCTTCCTACAGTAGGAGATGTTCCCCAACCCACGCATACGGAAGTGTGGGCGCAGAACACTTATTTTTTTAATCCATGGGGAATTTTTAGACTTTTGAACTTTATTTTCCTGTAAATGGAAGATTATTTAGTCATCCACCCCCTGGCACACCCCATGCCACCACCTTCCGATAAGGGAGATGTAACAGAAGCTAGAAGTGCAATGTGGGATCTCAGATTCAACCTTACACAAGAGAGTTTGGGGCATGTTTCTGAATCTGGTTTCTCCTTGTGTGCTCTTTGGGATTCTAGAAATCCTGGCCTTTGGTTGTCCTGTGATAAGCACAAGGGATGAAGCCAAGTTGGCCCATTTGGGGTCACTTGAAGCCTTGGAAGCAAATGCAAACTCCCTGACATTCAGCCCCCAAGAACATCTCGATGAGGGAAAGAAACATCTTCTAACTCACCAAAGGGGTTGAAGACAGCCTCTCCTGTCGTTCCTGAGTCAGGAACAGGGGCAGCCTGTTCTGGCTTGAAGGGGAGAGTTATGTTTGGGGGAGGGACTTTCAGGTTGGAGGTTGGGATAGAGTCCTGACTCAAGCAAAGCTGACAACTAGAACTGTTAGAAGATCAGACATTTAGGCCGTATCTTTGCAAATTGCCCCTCCACTCAAGGAGGAAACCTCACCCTCCCTTGGAATTATATCCAGTGGCAAAGTTCTCATCTAGGCGAAAGTGTGCCCAGTACAGGACCTACCTTTTTTCTTTTTTTAATCCAGTAAATAGAATTCCGTTACCATTGTATAAAATATTACTATATTTGGGTTCTATGATTGTGAATTATAACCTTAGTGGTCCTTCCTTCACTTAAATACACATTGCAAGTTACCCAAAGGTGAGTTATTCTTCTCATGCAGAGAAGCCATATGCGCAGGTTCCCTTCCCTTTTCTCTTTCTCCTTCCTTCCCTCCTCCCTTCCTCCTTCCCTCATTGCTTCCTTCCTTCCCTTCCTCCTTTCTTCCTTCCCTCCTTCCATTTTTCCTTCTTTCTTTCCCTTCTTCCATCATTCCTCCCCTCCCTCCCATTTTTCTTCCTTTCTTTCCTCCTTCCTTCCCTCCCTTCTTTCTTCCTTCCCTTCCCTCCCTCCTTCACTTCCCTCCTTCCTCCCTCCCTTCCTCCCTCCCTTCCTTCCTTCCTTCCTTTGCTCCCCTTCTCCCTCCTTCCCTTTCTTCCTTCACTTCCCTCCCTCCCCCTCCTTCCTTCCTTCCTTCCTTTCTTCCTTCCTTCCTTCCTCACTCCCTTCTTTCTCTTCTCTTCATCTTCTCTTCTCTTCTGACTTCCACTCTTCTTCCTCTTCCTCTTTCTTTTCAGAAAAAAATGCCCCATTTTGCTTCAGAGACTTTGAAGTCTCTGTGGTCTCAAGTTATAATCCATACACTACACAACTGGGCTCTAATGTAGTTCATACAAAAGGTGCTGCATTTTCAAGTATGTATTTTAGATTCAAATGGGTCTCTTCTGGTTTTTATTATGGATCATTTAAACCATTTTAACTTTCTAAAATGAATTTAAAAGGACTATTAAAGGAAGATAAGATCCAAGCTCATATCATCAGTAAACTGTAACTAGCAATGTATACTCAAAATGCATATATTTTAAAAGCCTTAACTATTAATTATGCCTATGTTTATATTTGCACAGGAAAAATAGAGACCTGGATTTTAAAAAAAATTAAATGACTCCTGCTTCATATTTTGTCAAAGGGGAGATTCAGTTCTGGGATCTGTGTCTAAGGCAGTGAGCCTGCCTTCCCAAGTATAAAAGTGGAGAATAGGGCAAGGCTCTATCCCCCACGTGAGGGGATATGCACAGCCAGAAGCAGGTGAGGAAAAGCAACCAAAGCTGCCACATTTGTCAGAGCAAGTAAGTCAAACTATTTAAATATGTAAGAAGTGGGTCTCAGGCAGGATGCTAAATGTCCCGGTATCATTGCCCCCAGTTGCCATGGGGGTGTTCAGGCAGTTGGAAAATCATGAGTGGATAGGAAGCTGGAGGCAGACTAGCAAGCACGTCTCCAGAATCTTCCACTGCTCGTGCTGAAGGAGTTTGGGTGGTAAGTTAGAATGTGGGCTTTGGGGAGTCAGGCCTGAGCATGTTCAAGTCCCACCACTGCTACTTGGGAAAGTTACTCTTCTTTTCTGGACCTCACTTTCCTCCCCTGAGAAATGGGAATGATCCTGCCCACCTCCCTTCATGGGAATGATACTGTGAGTAAATTTTCAAACAGCACAGTATAATGGGGATGGCCTGTGATGCCCCTTGGGTGCAGAAAACATCAAATTTTCTCCTTGAGGGATAAATGAATATGGTTTCATCTAGTTAGTCTCCTCTAGAGGCCAAGATTGCTGGGAGATTGGGTCCCTGGCTGTTTTCAGGACTCGTATTCACTGTCTTGGAACCTGAGACAAGGTTTGCATTCTCGTAGCCACTGAGGCTGCCCACAGGAGGCCATCCCTCCCACAGCACCGGGTTTAGCCACAGAGAGCCATGCTTGGAGACAATGAGACAGCTTCTCTTTGTGCCTTTTGTGGGAGTCTGAGCTCATGGAAGTGTGTGTGTCTGTGTGTGTGTCTGTGTGTGTCTTTGTGTGTATCAAGAGAGAAAGTCCCTGAGACAGGAAAGGAAGAAAATATTGGTGAGCACCTCTCCAGGTGTGGAAGGATGCAGGGTCCCTGGCAGAACCCCAGGGAGGTGAGAGGTGGCAGGACCTCAGAAGAGGAGACTGGACTTTGGCTCTGGGAAACCCAGGCTGGCAAAGATCCCAGTGCCTCAATCTTAGGAAGTCCCAAAGCTGACAGACAGCAAAGAACGACACAGAGCTGGACAAAGGGTATCTTGTCAGTAATGAGTATGAGAAGGGTCTGAAAGTATTTGTAACTTGGTTGGTTCCTCAAGAGAGATGTGTGCTCCATTCGCCTGGACCACTGGCCTTCTGATATATGATGCTACCAACCATCAAAGTTAAACAGGGCCAGGCATCTGTTATAGCTTTATCAGGAAAACTCTGGTCCATCTCAGACCCTTCTTCTAGGATGTTATGAAATAGAAGCCAAGACAGTTCCCTCTTGGTCTTGGGGCCATTAGTAATACCCTGAGGAAGGGAAGGTGAAATGAAAGCTGTAATGAACAAAATGGAAAATAAAAATGCTTCTTTGAAGTGCAGGTCATGAATTTTGTCTAGTAAAGTTGAAGATTCTCTTACCTATGACCTAATAACCCTAATTCTGGATCCTTATTATAGGAAAAAATTTCAGAGGTATGTACCCAGAAGCATGTACAAATATTTATTGCAGCATTGCTTTTAATAGAAAAAAGGAAATAACCTATAGATCAGAATCTAAGAACAAATTAGGAAAATGTATAATATGTTAGGTGTTTCACCAAAAAGAATTTAATAGAGGGAATTAATCGAATGGATGTCAGAGGGCTGAGAGAGTAGAAAGGGGGTGCTGAAGTTATCCAAAGAGAATAACTCCAGAAAGCAGCTGTTACCCTTAGGGCTGGGAGAGCAAAGGAGAAGGGGTGCTCAGAGGAGAGCCCCTCAGAGCTGTAACTCAGACTTCTGAAGGTGGGGAACTGCTGGCCCTTACTGGTAATGTAGGAACTCAGAGGAGTTTGGAAAAGGTAGGACCTTGGATATTATCTGAAAAGGTGCATTGTGTGGTGAGACTGGCCCTGGGGAGTCTCAAGAGAAGTCGCCAAAGGAGGCTGGATCCAAGGGCCACCGCCAGGACAATCTGATGCTGTTCCAGCCATATGACCAGGACGGGCCAGCAAACAGGAAAAAGAAAGTCCCTTCTCCCCTACCCCTTTCCTTCCAGTCATCCTCCGGGGTTGCCTAGTAGAGTCCTAGGAAAGGGAAGACAGAGAAGAAGGAGGACGTAGACTTCACTGACAGCATGTCTGCCGCAGACTGGAGATCCTACCTCAGATGTACGTATGCAGTGAAGTCTGAAAAGCCTACCGTCAACGTTTTTTCTGCATCCTGAAGCTTTTTCCTTCGGAGAATGCAGAAAACCCTGAGAAATGGCAGCATGGGAACAAGGGAAAGGATCATTCCTCAGGCATCTCCTGTGTGAGGGCATTGCTCTTCCTGTTCAAGTATGGATTACTTCTGTTAATAATCGCTCCTGCTGGGGGAAACTTCCTAGACATTTATTCTTTAAATATAATCAACATCATTCTTTAATTGGTTTTTTTAAATGTACACCTGCTCGGTGCAAAGCAGAGTTTAAGAATGGCTTTTCTGGGGTGCCTGGGTGACTCAGTCGGTTAAGCGTGTGACTCAGTCGGTTAAGCGTCTAACTCTTGATTTCAACTTGGGTCATGATCTCAAGGTCGTGAGATCGAGCCCTGCGTGGGGCTCCCTACTCAGCACAGAGTCTGCTTGTCCCTCTCCCTTTGCTCCCCCTCCTGCTCTCTCTGTCTCTCAAATAAATAAATAAAATCTTTATAAAAGTAAAAGTATCGCTTTCCTAAAACTCATCTGTTAGAATGGCTAAATATAAGAAACTGGTGATGCCAAATGTTGTCAAGGTTGCAAAGTGCCAAGAATTCTCATTCATTGTCTGGTACGTATGCAAAATGGTACAGCTTTGGACAACAAGTTGATATATTTTATAAGGTTAAAAATACACTTAACATATGATTACTAATGAGCCGGTGGGTATATGATTCTATGCATCTGTCCAAACTTGGAACCGTTCACCACAAAGAATGAC